CGTATATTTCATCTTCGAACGTTATTAATCGATTCAACTGTTTCCCTTGTTCAACACTAGCGTAGGAACGAATTGTACCACATTATACCGTTCAAATTAAAGTTGCCTCACCTATTTCCGTGTGGGGTAAATTAGTAAGCTTTCGATACTCGAAGATCGTGTTTCAGTCTATTCAGAGTAAGTGGAAGTTCTAAGAGTTTAGTGTTTCTACTAGCGTTCGTAACGAGTTTATATTTCCCATTTGACTCATATTCTCGATATTAACACCTTAGTATCCCTTTCTGTTAATTCCGTGTACGGTACTAGAATATCGTATTTGTTATATTAACGTAGAGTTCAATACTTAGATATTGTGAGGTATTGCGGTTGTCAGTCGCTAAGAACGACTGAGAGTATAGTGTGTAGTGTGAGAGGATTTGTGAGCAGACACCGTATACCATTGGTACGCCCGGGAGGACTGGTCTAGGTGCCATCTTATTTTACACTACCCCGATGATGATGCATGTGGCATTTCTGTTCAACGAATTCACGGATCTAAGTGTGATGCTGTAACGTAGCCCTTCTATATCACCTGCATCAATACGATGGTCGAACAGTGCTTGGCTATGACGTGTCATAACATACAAGGACCGTGGGTCACATTGCTGCTTGTGCTTATCAGTGCCTGTGTGAGAGTCAGAGAAAGAAACCTGACATGCAGAACCAAGCGAGACAGTGAATATTTTAGACTCTGGATGGATGGTAGCCTCGTCATCAGAGTGTCTAGGTAGCTTGCTGTCTGTTCCTTCAAACCGATTTACTAAGCAGCTGTTGATCTGAGGTAGATCACCCTGGCAGAACTCATTATTGATTTTGTCAATGAGTTCCTTGAGAACCGATGGTATTGCCTGTGGCTTTTCAGATGACTTGGAACCTGGGTAATCATACCTTTCCCCATATGTTAGGCAGGAGCGGTCGTTCTCAACTTTGAAGTGACTGCTGTCCTTAACAAAAAGTTCTCCTAAATCATTTGCTGTTTGCTGATCAATGTAGTCATCTTTGAACATTTCCACAGGTTTCTGCTCATGATTGGGTAGCTGCACAGGGACTGTAGGGACTGGAGAACGAAGGTGCTGAATAGGAGGTCCTGGATGCAATGGGGTGGGAGGAATGCAGGGGCCAGGATTGTGCAATGGCTGTAATGAGTCTAAGGATTGTTTCAATTCACTTATGCCTGCAGCTGCAGTGTGCTCATTGGCACAGAGTACAGTGAGCTGTTCAGAGATGTCCTTCAGAAACTGCTCAGATGAAGCTGAGGGTGAGGATGGTTCTGTAGATGGTCTGGATGACAGAAGTTTCAGGTCCTTCTGAAGTTCGGCAATATTAGTATTGATTGATTCTAATGATTTGTCATGAAGCTTTATTTCATTATTTAGCCCATTAAGGGAGTTCTCTTTAAGAAGCAGGTGTTGAAGGTGAACGTCGAACTGGGAGAGAGTGTCAAGGTTCCTAGAGAACTGTTCGAAGTCAAATTTTTCAAGAGCTGAGCCTGCTGAGCTTGCTGATGCCACGAGTGCACTGACAGTTTCAAGATTCTTAACAGCTGTAGATGCTTCAAAATCTGAGTTGGCCTGTTGCAAAGCCCTTGTGTTCCTGCAGCTGTAACAAAATTCACCTCTCTGTTTCTTCAGTGTTGATACTGGTGCCACGAAGCAGTATGGGCACAGCCATTCTACCATGGAGTTGATAGCTGACCTCGTTATACCCTTCATAGACAGGCAGTCCACATGCCACTCTTGATGACACTTAGAACAGTCAATGAGGTAAACTTTACCGTTAAAAGAGCGTTGACATGGACATTTCTTCTTGTCCCTATGTTTCCTGTTTTCCTGATCTTCATTGTCCACTGTAGATTCAGCTAAAATGTTGCGAGACAAGCTATTAGATGTTTTAGGAGTACCTGAATTCTTCCTAGTATTTGTCGCCATTCTCAAATCAAATATAAGTAATACTGACCAAATAGATCCGACTTGGGGTCGGCTCCCGTTAAGTGTTTTGTTTTGGAGGGGATTAGGACTTCAGAGTTGATGACCCTAGTAAAGTGTAGATGACCCTAATAGAGTGTAGATGACCCTTAGCTTAGTACGCCCCTTCTGGGGAGTTGTAACATACCATTCCTGAACACTCAAATTATTTGTTATATAGTAGTGTTGAAAGTATTAAAACATTAAAGCTAAACTCATGAAATAAAAAAACACAATTAATTGTTAATATAATATTTGTGATTTCATAATTTCCTCGTGCATACTGCATTAGATCTATATTTAATTTTGTTTTGACTTCAGATGGTAGACTGCTGTACATTTGGAGGACTTTACCGCTTCGATGCGCCGCGCGAATCGAACTATCATTTTTGTTTTGCATCGTAGATTGTTGCTTTTATTTGGTTCGCAGAGCAACGATCTCGATGGGTTGACATTTTTAATTAAATGTTTTAGTATTGACTCGCCTTTTACAGTAGTTTCGACATTTGTAGTTTTGTGTTGATGTTAATTATGTTGATGTAGAATTTAATGTCGATGTAGTATTTAATTGTGACATGATATACGATATTTTGCGCCAAAGCTGGCCGTCTTTGGTAATTGAGTGCACTGTTGACAGTTAGGCAAGCGATCCCAAAAGAAGATGACAGATGATTATGCTGTTGCCAACTGTACACTATTAGTTCCTACTGTAAATCCAAGCGAACCTGTATTTGCCTATAGTAGTATATTTGTTGACAACATAGCTGTGATCCAAAATGTGGAAAGGACTTTGGCCCCGTTCCGACAAAGAAGGTCATTCAAACAATGTATCCATTCAACAAAGAAAGAGCTTGTTATAACAATGTTATTAGATTAGATTAAGAATAATGACTCGCTGAGAGACACCTTTGCAGAACTAATGAGAACTGTGAAATGCAAGGATGTGCAGACTGAGCCAGTTCTTCTTCCAGTTGATGGTCTACAGTTACCAAAGGGAACAGTCCTAGGAGACCAAGCCAGGCTGGACATTTCTGCAAGATCGATTTGGAATGCTTCAGAGAGGGCATTTTTTGATGTAAGGGTATTTCATGCCCCAGCCCCCTCCAATGCAAGCAAACCGATACCAGCAATGTACCTGTCCCATGAAAATGAGAAAAAGCGATGTTACAATGCAAGGGTTCTTGAAGTGGAGAAAGGAAGCTTCACACCTTTAGTGTTCTCGACTTCTGGTGGAATGGGTGGTGAAGCTGAGAGACTGGTCAAGAAGCTGGCTAGTAAGATGGAGTACCACACTGGCCAGAGGTACTCAGACGCTGTAGGATACATAAGAAAGCGCCTTCGCTTTGAAATCCTCAGAACAACAGTGATTTCTCTCCGTGGAGACAGAGGTGCGAGAAAAAACATTGTTGATATAAACAGTCTAGATCTTAACTTGGAGCCACAAGGCCAAGGGTAAAAAAAATTTTTGATTGTTAAGGGAATTTTTTGAATTCTTAAAGGGTTGATTTTATATAGGGTCATTGCTATATTATGTGTATATTGTTTGAATATTTTATTATTATACATCTTAAAATAATGACATGTTTTCGGTTTTAAAATATTCATAATGCCTTAACTGGATGTATTGGGAAAATTTGAAATCATTGAAATCATTGATGTTCGAAACATTTTACCAAGCCAGGGTTTACATAATCGCAAGATCACAACATTTTAAAAAAATCATTGGGGTTTCGTATAAAGAGGTTCCACTTTAATTTTAGTAACGTGTCGTTTTGATATCACCAATGATCATCTGATGAAACTGACTTCATGGATACTATATTATGGAAAACCTGGTGTTGTTAACATTGTAGTATCAGAAAACGTCAGACTTTCGCAAATAGGCGACTTAAGGGGAGGGGAAGTTGTGTAACGAAGGGCCACGCTGACCCCGCTGTGCGTGTGGGCGTCATCTTAGGGGGCGCAAAATCATCGTTTGAAAGTGGGACAATTTTGAAAAACTTAACTGAGATACTAACAAAACTGCACGTTTTGCTCTAGAAACACACTATTTTATAGATTTTACCAGCGTATCCTCTAAAATCACCTAATTTGTTCAATCGTAGGGAGGGACGTCGCACATACAGGATAGATGGGTCTTGAGAGCCTTCTTGAAAACATCTAGTCGAGAGATGGAGTGTATTCCAGATTTTAGGAGCAGTGTGAGAGAAAGCACCAGCTGTAGCCCTCAGTCTTGATAAAGGAGGGCGTTCCAGTAGGAAGAAGTCATTGTCCATTCTGACATGATGTTTACTGGTGTCCCTAATTTTGACCATTTTCCTAAGATATTATAATAAAATAATTTGTGATATGAGTACAAGTGATAAATTAATAAATTAATTTACACTCAAAAATGTACAAAATATACACAATTTTTACCTTGCAACACTGGTTCAGCGCACGGCTGATCGAAAAAAGCCCATATTTGGGCATACACATCAAATTTGATCGATTTTGGCCCATAAATTGGTCAAATATCAATATTTTTGAATGAAACCAACTTTATATTTTAAAAGGTAAGCCTAACTACACATTCTCTATGACTAACGGCTCAATATCTACCCAGCTGTGGATTCTGTGTTCGAATAATTGTAAAAAATGAGCAAAATCGCCCGCATCTCAGTTCGCGGTATTTGCAAAACTGATTTCGCTCAAAATAATAGAACTTAAAAGGTTTCAATATTTTTTCATGAAATTTTCAGAAGCAATTTTTTTCATTTTTTACGATTATTTGAACACAGAATCCACAGTTGGTATTTTCATCAATTTCACAAAAACATCAGGGTGAACCCCCCCCCCCCCCCCCGCGGCCGCCCCCCCCCCCCCCCCCCCCCTTAACTCTTGTTATAAAGATCATGTACATAAAAAGCATGACACGTTTTTCAACATATTTTCTATGCAAATTATGGTCTCACTGTGTGGAAAATCTGAACCTAATAAAATGTTTCTCACAGGACTGTACACGATGCGATGTTTTGAGTTTCTTGTAAAATCTCCTGGTGCTAGCGATGCCCCATCCAAGGAATCATTGAAAGAAATATTCTCAGACGAAGCTAAGATAAAATCATATGATCCTCTCAGTGGACACATTACCTTCGAAACTTCTCAATCTGTTAATGTTGTAGAGAATATTTTACAAGAAAGATTTTCCCAAGTGAAATTAATTGGTCAAAGTAGTCTCTCCCTCACACAAGCTGCAGGAGTTGCCATCATTGGAGGGAAAGCTCGTGGAATTATCAGATTATTGGAGGATGAAAGTGGTTTACATGTTGAAGGAACCGTTACAGGGCTTCAGAAAGGGCCATATAGTGTAAGTATCAATGAGTATGGTGATATATCAAATTCCTGTATTTCTACAGGTGACCCTATTTCTAAAAGTGGTGACAAAACGCCATGTGGACTATTGGGAGAGATAGAAAGTGATGGTTCTAACGACACAAAGTTTGTTTTAAACTCAAGTGGTTTATCATTTATTGAGTGCATTGGGAGATCTTTAGTTGTTCAAAATAATGATGCTAGAATAGCATGTGGGATTGTTGGACGATCATCCGGTGTGTCAGAAAATAATAAAAAGATCTGTGCGTGTGATGGAACAGTCATCTGGGAGGAACAAGTCTTTGGGCCTTATGCTGTTGCTCCCCAGACCTCAGAGTAAGATGTGACAATACATATGTTTATTGTTTTTAAATTTTTTATATTAGATATACAGGGGGCAAAAAGTCAGTACACATACGCTGGGGCTTAATTCTTTTTTCACGAGTAAAAGCAATAGAGTTTTTAAATTTTGTTAAATATGAGTAGTTACAATATTATGATATCTGCAAAGTTACATGGCTATATGTTATGAGATCAAATGTACTGTCTTTTGGCTTCCTGCATTATTGTTTATATATTGATGTATCTATTTATTTATCATAAAAATAAAAATATATATTAATTATCATAAAATAAGCCATGACTGAAAATTCTTGATTTTATGTTTGAGAGCACTACTATTTTATTACACAGTTCTTTTGCTAGTTCCGTTTAATATTTTGTATAGAGACCAATCATTTATGTCTATCAACAAAGCATGTTTTTGATAATAAATTCAAGTTAGTTTTTACTAAAACCTTATTTTATTTATGATACAAGATGTGATGGTTTGGTAGCATAACTTATACTAGTTCAGATGATACTAATGTTCAAATAAAAATAATTACATGTAGTTCGTAGAATGCCTGCAATTTGATTAAGAAGCATATGATTTATAGTCCATAGAATCAAAGTGTTTCAGATTTTGTGTCATAGATTTCAAAACGTAAAAGAATATAGTTTCCAAAACTCTCTATGTATGAATGTTGGATTATCTCAGCCATTTTCCAATGATTAAAAAATTGTTGTGTCATCGTTGTTAATGGCAACCATGACAAAGTTTGTTGTTTCCCCAGTATTGCTATCTTTACGGTTTATTAGCAAATTCCTATTACTTTAATATATTGAAAACGGCTGTGGACTTATTTAGTGAACTTAAGTAACACTGGCACAAAATAAAATAGTAACCACATTCCCTCACAGCATGTACTACTGGAGTAATCTATGAGCAGTGCCACAAAAACAGACTCCGAAGAACACGAAGGTGTTTTTAAGTACCGTAAAAAGATATTAAAGTTAAAACTGTTGTTTGCAGCTGGAGTCGGTACTATTGGTGTGTTGGCTGGTTTCAAATACGGATACTCAAAATCAAAAGTAAAGCATGGCTCTTCAGAACTTGTCAAAGACAAAACTATTGAGGACCCCGTCAAGTTTGCTGGCAGAGCACTGAAAAGAGCAACTCTTATAACAGTAGGATGTTTCCTTGTTGTGATTGGGGGCATATCTATTGGGTTTGGTATTCGGTCCCCGACAGACCTTCGCAACATATCAAGAAGGAAATGGTTGGCTGAAAAAAATGGACTAAACACTCAGACTCAAGACGATGATGTTCCATCCGATACAAATGACTCTACTGGACCCATCTTTGATGAAGTCAGTATCATATCAGAGCAAGAGGACTTAACTGTGGCCCTTGTTCATGAAGTCAGTTTCCCTGCAACTATGGACAATGAGATGATTGTGGATATAGCAGAAGAATTGAAAGATAAGTGGAAATGAGATCTCTGTTTTAATGCGTCGTTTTGCCTGCAAGTTAGTTCTCTTAGTGGTTGATTTTGGGCAGCGTGAAGTTAAATTATTTCTAAAAAACTACCATCTGGAATCAGCTTTGCAGAAATTAATTTTCATACAGTGGAAATCTACACGGAAAGTCATTGATGCTTAATCTGGCAGAGCTGGTCCTATAATCATTTGATACGAGATTTCCCGGACTGTAGTTTAGTGTTTTCATGTTTAAATAACTAATTGCACCTATTTGGGACTCAATAAGTAATGCTCAACCCCCAAAGTGTAAAGTGTTATTAACAGAACATAACTTCATCCCAAAACTGATTTTCTCGATGATAACTTGGGTTTCAATCAATTAAATATGATGTCGTCTTTTTTTATAGCAGCCTACCTGAAATGATTATTGCCATACTTTGCCACTAGGCACAATCTTGTATATTCCAGTACTGCTGTATAATTATTATTTTGTTTGGTTGATACTTTCAATAAAAAGCATTATCATTCAGGTGCTAGCAATACAATGTTCAAGAATAAGAAATTGTTCCTTGGTGTTGCCGCCACGGTTGCTATCATAAAGAATCCGACTTCCTACGATTTAATTGAACAGAATATTATTCTCCCTCTATCTCATCGCCTCCCCCCTGAAGTAGCCCACAAATGTGCTCTGTGGACAATCAGGTTAAAAATACCGCCAAGAAACGATCTTTTTAAACCGAACATGTTACGTACGACAGTTTTTGGGTTACATTTCGACAATCCTATCGGACTGGCTGCTGGATTTGATAAAGATTGTGAAGCTGTTTCAGGTATGCAGAGGCTTGGTTTTGGATTCGTTGAAGTGGGGAGCATCACTCCATTACCCCAGGTTGGGAATGATCAGCCTCGTGTGTTTCGACTCTAGAAGATGATGCAATTATAAATAGATACGGATTTCCGAGTAAAGGGGCTGATGCTGCCGCTAAACGTTTTACTCCTTTACTTTCTCCTTTCATTCGCATTGATGTTGTTCAAGTTCCTGATGAAAAAGTTCAAAAGTTTCTGGAGGCACATGATCTAGAATCTCCACCTCCAGCCATTGCACCAAATCCTGGAAGTACTTCGTTTCAGATCAAGTCTAAGTGGTCTCAAACATTAATTGAGAAGTATTTGATGCCCAGTACATGTAAAGTGGGGATAAATTTGGGCATAAACAAAACCAGTAAAAACCCTACAAATGATTACTGCGTTGGAGTGGAGAAACTAGGAGAGTTTTCCGACTACATTGTGATCAATGTTAGCTCTCCAAACACACCCGGGCTAAGAGATTTGCAACGGAAACATGAGCTTGAAAAAATGTTAAGGCACATCTCCAAAAGGGTTGAAAAGAAAATCAAAAATTCTGGGGATTCAGCTTGCAAGGCACTTTTGCTTAAAATCTCACCCGATTTAACTGATGATTACCTTCAAGAAGTGATAGAAGTTGTGATGAATCCCGCATTTGGAGTAAAGGGAGTTATTGTCTCCAACACCACGGTTTCAAGACCTGACACCGTGGTAAGTAATAGTAGAAATGAGCGTGGTGGATTGAGCGGACCTCCTCTAAAAAACTTATCTACAGAAATGATAAAGAAAGTGTATATCATGACTGATGGATCTGTGCCAATAGTTGGAGTCGGTGGGGTAAGCAGTGCTGAAGATGCGTACGAAAAGATCAGGGCTGGAGCATCACTTGTCCAACTGTACACAGGTTTAGTTTATAATGGTCTGGGTCTCATCCGGAGGATGAAAACGGATCTTTGCAAGTTGCTGCAACGAGATGGTTATATTAATGTTCAGATGGCTGTTGGAGCTGATGTCCCGGAGGTCACTAACAAAACAATTAACGATATTTTCAGGAATCTTGAATTAGACTTTCATAAAATGATGCTTCCCCCGTTAACAATGCCTCCTCCGCCTGATCTTGATTCTTTACAAGGACCGAAAAGTAATAATATTGACTCGTTTCTGCCTCCTCCGCCAAGTTTCGATAAGATCTTTAAAGAGGTCGATAATAGCGTTAGTAGTGAGATAGTTGGTAGTGAAATGGACGAGAGCGAAGCTACTCAAGATGAACAGGACGAGTTGACTTCTGAAGATGACAAGTAAGCCTCTCCCTGCTGAACAATACCAATATCATTAAGATGTAATTACTTTAGATGCAGATGTTATAATATTAATAACTTGAATGTAATTACATCTTTTTGTGTTAAATCTCATTTCTTTTGTTTATTTATGGCATATCTTTGTTCTGTTAGGTTAGGGTAAATTATTAGATCTGTTTTAAAGTTTACATAGATAAGTGGTTAGGATCTGGGTAAACCCCTAAATTCGGAGGATCTCTGTCCTCTGAGCTCCAACATCGATAACAGTACCTTTATTTCGTGTAAAAATGTGTTGATCTCCCTCCCTATTCTGTTTAAAGATGTAACACCTGAAGCACTTCCCACGTACAATATACACACTCTGCACACATTAAAATTGTAGACCGTTAGAGTTAGAGTATAATTATATTATAATGTAATGATGTTAACATGATACGGCCTTGAAGTCTTGAATAGGGGGTGACTTGTTGTACTTTGTTCTGTTAGGTTAGGGTAAATTCTTAGATCTGTTTTAAAGTTTACATAGATAAGTGGTTAGGTCCTCTGAGCTCCAACATCAATAACAATACCTTTATTTGTATTCGTTACTTGTGAAAAAATGTGTTGATTAACGTTTTACCCAGATCGACCTCTCGGTTCTCATCTGTGATCCCATTTCCCAAGGTTGGGAATTATCTGTAAGTAAGTGGTTCCACTTACTTACAGATAATTTATGGTATAATAAAGAGAAATTTATGAATCCTTACACTTTTTATTAATTTATTATGTAAAATTTTCTCGGCAATTTTCTTATTGTTTATAACTTGCGTGATTCTTTTCGGGTGTAATCAGCCAATCAACTTCAAGTAGTTACCAATCAAATTCTAATAAGCAGCACTTCTACAAATCAATATTAGACCTCAGACCTGTCAAAACAAATTATATGGCTCACTAATCACTAAGTCACCACTCACTAATTAACCACTCACTAAGTCACCAGTCACTAAGTCACTAATCACTAAGTCACCATTCACTAAGTCACCAGTCACTTAATCTATTATTTCTAAACTCATCCTCTGTTCAATAATAAGATTCTTGCAACTTTTTCATCTTCAAAAGGTTTTTTCAATTTAGCCCTTTGAATTACATTGTATCTTATCCGTAATATCTTATCTTGTATCTTATCTGAAATATTTGGAATATCTTCTGTGCTCATCTTATAGTCAGTGCAGATTAATAATCAAATCTTAGGGTGATTACTTTATTTTACCTCAGGTAGTTACAGTGAGTAGCTATGGTACTGGACTCTGTTGGTAACTAGTTGGTAACTAATGGTAACTAGTTGGTAACTAATGGTAACTAATGGTAACGAATGGTAATTACTTTATTTTACCTCAGGTAGCTATGGTACTGGACTCTGTTGTTCTTTATTCCATCAAAGAGAAAGAATTCCACGTTTTAGCTCAGAAGCGTTTTGTTATACGTCACATGGACAACCAAGATACACTAACAGAGAATGTCATACAGAAAATAACAGCTGAATCCCTTATGAACGGTGATTCTGTACCGAAACAGGGGATCGTGAACATGTTTGTAAAGGGTCTACCCATGGCTCTCATTTACCAAAACAAGGACACATTCGGAGTGGTATTCGTGCTGACAAACTCTGACGATAGCAACAGAATCGCTGCCTCGTTAACTCTTGATGCTGTTACCTCTCACATGACATCCTTGATTAACAGTTCGTCTCTAGAACGAGTGATAGCGCAACCGGAGGGTTTCTACTCGACACTCCACATGTACATTCCAAATGGGCAGATAATAATCGCTAATAACCAAGTTTACAGGTCAACTTTCGGGTGAACTTCTTAGATATGTTTTTAAAATGTTTGGCGTTTTGTTTAGAATTTTAATAATATGTCCGCTCCAATAAGCTAATTTTTATTTGATTTATCGAAATTCCCATTTATTTTCGTACAGATTTTGCAGTCAGATTTTTATAATTTATTTTGTTTTCAATTATTGGTTTTTGATTTGAGTTGTCTTAAATTTACATGTTACTATTATATGATACATATCCATGTTGCATTATTATTATTCAGATACCTTAGGGCCAATAAATTTGGTTACCATAATTTTAGTCGCAAATTTCGCAAATTTTTAGTCTCCAACAATTTTAGTCACATTTTTCGAATTTTCGAGACAATTTTCCATTCCAGACGACGTAGTTTATGTCGATATGCATATGATCCTTTAGCTGTTTCAACAGAGCATGCATAATAGGATGGATCGATTAAAAATGTAATGTCCAAGAGGAGCTCTAACACTTTAAGTGCAATAGGACTTTGGTATGGTTTTGAGCAGTAGGAACCTGGAACGGTGATGTCATTATATTAATTATAAACAATGTAAGCTTAATAATATTAAATATTCATGTCATATATATGCTCTAGTGACTCTACTGAAATTTTGGTCTCCTTTAAAATTAGTCGCCGAAACATGTAGTCTCATGAAATTTGGTTTACAACAATTTTAGTCAAAAGTTTGACTTAATTTATGGTAGACTAAATTTGTCGTTCTTAAGGTAAGTCCATTTTATACAAGGTATGTATGTCTATTGTCTCCCCTTTTCAACTATTGTCAGCTGCCTAACTGATTAATTATAATTTCTTCCGAGGTAGAATAATAGAATATATCTTCGTAATATTCGAATCCACGGAAAATAATCCCATTTTTGTACGTGCGTTGTGTGGAATATAACGTGTTGCTATAGTAACGAGTACGTGCGTTGTGTGTAGCAAAGGTGCAAGCAAGCACTTAACAAATGGAATTTGAACTCTTTTCTAAGAATTAGTTAGGACATAAATGTTGGGTCAATTGAAAATTGCTCGTCTCAATAAAAGCTGATAAGATAAATCAATATTTCTTCGTCTATCAGTTACGTTAGATCTATTTTGATATTGTGTCACATATTACACGAGATTAGTTGAACATTTGTTGGTAATGTTAATGTTATACGTCGTTTCGTATCGTTACAAATCAGTTTTACTTTTAACTGGGTCCTTTCTATCACTGAACATCTTTAAATGTTATATCACCATGATTTTTCTGCATTTATAAAAATGATATAATAATAAAATCTTGATTTACTCTCTGCAGAATGTCTTCAAAATCAAAGCAGATGATTTTTGCATGGTGGTGCTCTGGTGAGGGGACGAGAGTTTTGCCTGCATTCCAAGAAGAAGCTCAGTTGAAAAGAGACGTTTTGGAAAAACTTATACGCAATATTTTATTCGAGAAGATTTACAAAAGATCTGTTAATTTGCACGGTCGTTTTGTACCAAGTCAGGATATCTTACAAATGACAGTGGACGGGAGAACCCTTGATATTGTCTACAAGAACTCGAACTGGTTCGGTGTGGTCTCTGTTTTATCGGAATTTGGTGGAACTGACACGTTATCTACTGAAACGGAAGCGGTGAATGAAGTTTACGACTCCATGTTAAATAATATTACATAATATTATGTGAACGACCCTTTTTATCAGCATGACTAATATCCGAATGAACGTCTTCTGCTGAATTAACTAACATTAGTTTTTCTTCATTCAATTCGACATCGTTTATTTTCCGATGTGTGGCTACCAGATAAGGTAAGTAGTTACCCAGGGTTACCTTAGTAACACCTTAGCGACACTTAGTAACACCTTAGTAACACCTAGTAACCAGATAAGGTAAGTAGTTACCCAGGGTTACCTTAGTAACACTTAGCGACACTTAGTAACACCTTAGTAACGCCTAGTAACACCTAGTAACCAGATAAGGTAAGTAGTTACCTAGGGTTACCTTAGTAACACTTAGCGACACTTAGTAACACCTTAGTAACACCTAGTAACCAGATAAGGTAAGTAGTTACCCAGGGTTACCTTAGTAACACTTAGCGACACTTAGTAACACCTTAGTAACACCTAGTAACCAGATAAGGTAAGTAGTTACCTAGGGTTACCTTAGTAACACTTAGCGACACTTAGTAACACCTTAGTAACACCTAGTAACCAGATAAGGTAAGTAGTTACCCAGGGTTACCCAGGGATCAGCCGGTAGGGGATCTTGACTTGGATTTTTGTATAAGATTTCAAAACATGAGCTATATTAGCCCTGATCGGCTGATCCATATACTACAGCAGTAGGATAGGTTCACATATCACGTCAACTGGCTAAGGAGGGAAAACGATTGGAAATGCTTATAAGGAAAGGGGTAAAACCTTTGCCGACATCAGCAATAATTTCATTTTGTCCAATTTTGTATGATTCCAGACTGGAAATAAAACGGTTAAAACTCGATCACCTGATTTATTCAATTTTGCATCATTTCGATTGTAAAAGTTCAAAATAGGAAGGAGTGCTCGAGCATGGCCCTGACGTAATATGTGAATCGAATGATCCCTATGAATTTTTAACTGCACAATTTTTAATCATCATTTCATTTTTATCATTTAATTGCGTAAATTATGTGATTATATTCTAAAATCTAACGATTTATTGCTATAAATCATTTGCTAAGATAAGTGGTTGATATTTTCAAACTCGTCGTATCAAAGATTATTGTTATCTAAGTTTAATATTAGTATTTCCATCTGAATTAGTTGGTTCAGCAAATGATTTATAGCATATATATATTAAATCTGCATTAGTATGAATCGAAATCCGTGACGTATTTAATATTTATACGCCTTTTTAACAGTTTGATAAATAATTCAGTTTAAATCATCTAATTTTAAAGATTTTTTATCAATGATTAGATAAAGCCATTTTACCGATAAACGTGCTTTTGTTTAAATTAAATTTCAATTTGTATTTTAGCAGTGTATACAGCTGCCCTTAGCAACGAAGTTTACCAGTTAATTTTGTGGTTTTATTTTATTTTGTTTGGTCTGCCTGCTCTAGCAGGTGGCTTCACACATTTGAATCTCGCGTGTCTTCTTGAAGGTAGGTTAAACTTTTTGATTTAAAGAAATTCGTTGTTTAATTCGAGTGCCTTATCTACAAATTTGTGCATCCCAAACTTTACAAATATTTCATTTTCACGAAAAGAGTTCAGAACATTTCACAGAAGGCAGCTAAACACACTCGTTACTATAGCAACACGTTAAATTCCACACCCGTTACTATAGCAACACGTTACATTCCACACTCGTTACTATAGCAACACGTTACATTCCACACTCGTTACTATAGCAACACGTTACATTCCACACTCGTTACTATAGCAACACATTACATCCACACTCGTTACTAACACGTTAATTCCACACTCGTTACTATAGCAACACGTTACATTCCACACTCGTTACTATAGCAACACGTTACATTCCACACTCGTTACTATAGAGCTATAGCAACACGTTCCTCACTACATTGTCTCACGACAGAATGGCGAAACAGTTCTTCAACTACCTTGTGATTGGGGCAGGTTCGGGCGGTATCGCCAGTGCTCGCCGCGCTGCACTCCTTAAACCCTCTCTCAAGATAGCTGTTATCGAGAAAGCGAGACCTGGAGGCACTTGTGTTAATGTGGGATGTGTTCCCAAAAAGGTTGGTTTATATCTAGCGGTATTTTAGATTATTAATAATAACAACAAATATTTCATCCGGATAAATTGTAAACTAAATTTATCATTTTTTCTATTTGTCTACCCTTTTAAACGATTTTATCTCTTTTGAGCTTCGTTAAATTTCAGGTTATGTTCAAATTTCAGGTTATGTTCATGACAGCAACAGTTAAATTTCAGGTTATGTTCATGACAGCAACAGTTAACGAAGCATTACACGATGCAAAGGACTACGGTTTTGACATCGTGAAGAAAAACAAGTTTGACTGGGCGATGTTGAAGGAGAAAAGAGATGCTTACGTCAAAAGACTGAACGGAATTTACACAAGTAACCTGGGCAAAGACAACATAACTTACATACAGGTTAACCATCTTCTATTATAACTTTTTAGTTTGAATTCATATTTCTCTGACCGTCCGAGATCCAGTATCCACGCCCGATCAAGTTCATACAAGTTCTTTGGTCAACAAATAGCGATGCTAGAGCTTGGTGTGAACAAATCTTGACCTACTTTCAAACCTTTGGGACGACTCTCGCAAATGCGAGAGTAATGACCCCGGGGAGGGCCCCATTGGTTTTAGAAGGTTGCATATTTATTTAAAAAATTTTAAAACATTTAAAAAAAATGATGTTAAAAAAATTAAAAAAAGTTCATACAAGTTCTCACAGCACATTATCTATCCCTCCTGTGTACGTACAGTGACAATAAATAATGACATGTTATTAACAAAACATGCATGCTGGTAATCACTATTAGAATCTGAATAATCAAAAGATTCATCGCTATCTAATATATTGGGATTAAAAAGTTAAGGCATGGAAATTATTGACATGAACATGTTATCTAAGTTATTCTAGGAGTCAATAACTACTACTATACACACCAGTTTCAGAAAAATAGCATTATTTCATGAAAGTCGTAGAATCCATAATGGGGACTTGGACCTATTTATATCACCTTATAAAATACACATACACCCTCAGTTATCCATTCTTTTTTAGAAAAGAAAATACTGTTATAAGTATTTAAAGGGAACTAAAATCATTTTCCCCAAACATTAAAACATTAATCCGTGCACACTGTTTTCCAGGGAGCAGCCACGTTTACAGGTTCACGTACCGTCTCAGTAGATAGTTACATTCCACACTCGTTACTATAGCAACACGTTACATTCCACACTCGTTACTATAGCAACACATTACATTACACTGTTTTTCAGGGAGCAGCAAAGTTTACAGGTCCACGTACCATCTCAGTAGAGGGGGTGGAGTACGAAGGGGAGCACGTGTTGATAGCAGTGGGGGGCCGCCCCACCATCCCCAACATTCCTGGAGCTGAACTATGCGATACCAGCGACGAGTTCTTCGAGTGGGACACTTTGCCGAACAAAGTTCTAGTTATAGGTGCCGGGTATATCGCTGTGGAGATAGCAGGTTACTATAGCAACACGTTACATTCCACACTCGTTACTATAGCAACACGTTACATTCCACACTCGTTACTGTAGCAACACGTTACATTCCACACTCGTTACTATAGCAACACGTTACATTCCACACTCGTTACTATAGCAACACGTTACATTCCACACTCGTTACTGTAGCAACACGTTACATTCCACACTCGTTACTGTAGCAACACGTCACATTCCACACTCGTTACTATAGCAACACGTTACATTCCACACTCGTTACTGTAGCAACACGTTACATTCCACACTCGTTACTATAGCAACACGTTACATTCCACACTCGTTACTGTAGCAACACGTTACATTCCACACTCGTTACTGTAGCAACACGTTACATTCCACACTCGTTACTATAGCAACACGTTACATTCCACACTCGTTACTGTAGCAATACGTTACATTCAACACTCGTTACTGTAGCAATACGTTACATTCCACACTCGTTACTGTAGCAATACGTTACATTCCACACTCGTTACTATAGCAACACGTTACATTCCACACTCGTTACTGTAGCAATACGTTACATTCCACACTCGTTACTGTAGCAATACATTACATTCCACACTCGTTACTATAGCAACACGTTACATTCCACACTCGTTACTGTAGCAATACGTTACATTCCACACTCGTTACTATAGCAATACGTTACATTCCACACTCGTTACTATAGCAACACATTACATTCCACACTCGTTACTATAGCAACACGTTAGATAGTAGGTTGGTGGAGAACTTGGTACATTATTGAATAATGATGGGCGGGGCTAGTTATTTTGTAACACACACTAAGTAAGGGTTTGACTTAACTACCATACTCAGGAATACTACACAATCTGGGTGTAGATACCACATTAGTAGCAAGAAGAGGTGCCATTCTGCGTTACTATAGCAACATTCCACAACACGTTACTATAGCAACACGTTACATTCCACATTCTCAGGAATACTACATAATCTGGGTGTAGATACCACATTAGTAGCAAGAAGAGGTGCCATTCTGCGTTACTATAGCAACATTCCACAACACGTTACTATAGCAACACGTTACATTCCACATTCTCAGGAATACTACATAATCTGGGTGTAGATACCACGTTAGTAGCAAGAAGAGGTGCTATTCTGCGTTACTATAGCAACATTCCACAACACGTTACTATAGCGACACGTTACATTCCACATTCTCAGGAATACTACATAATCTGGGTGTAGATACCACATTAGTAGCAAGAAGAGGTGCCATTCTGCGTTACTATAGCAACATTCCACAACACGTTACTAGAGCAACACGTTACATTCCACATTCTCAGGAATACTACACAATCTGGGTGTAGATACCACGTTAGTAGCAAGAAGAGGTGCTATTCTGCGTTACTATAGCAACATTCCACAACACGTTACTATAGCGACACGTTACATTCCACATTCTCAGGAATACTACATAATCTGGGTGTAGATACCACATTAGTAGCAAGAAGAGGTGCCATTCTGCGTTACTATAGCAACATTCCACAACACGTTACTAGAGCAACACGTTACATTCCACATTCTCAGGAATACTACACAATCTGGGTGTAGATACCACGTTAGTAGCAAGAAGAGGTGCTATTCTGCGTTCATTTGATCACGATATTGGAAAGAATCTTATGAGTGAAATGAGTGATGCAGGACAAAAGGTTTGTAGAACATCAGGACATGCCACCTAAAGTTAGAAATACTATGCTAGAAATGCTTTTATCTACCTTATCTTATCTAAATTTGATAACTGAATAAAATGTGCAATTTATAGAATAATAAAATGGCAGGCTAAAATAGAGAGGCAGATTATTTGCGACTTATTAAGTGTTATTACTGTGTTGTTGCAGGTCCAGTACCACACAAATCCTGATGCAATTGAAAAGGCTGAAGATGGTACGTTTACATTTAAAGGGACAGTGAGCGAGCCTGGACAGGAACCAAAACAGGTTATTTTATTACTGAGAATTCTTTACAACTGGATTAATCAAAGGTGACTTGTAGAGAGCAAGAATGAATTTTTAACCGGTCTAAGTTAGTGAATTTAAGCTTTTATCACGGTTGTTACTATAGGGCCCGAAAACGTACCATAAATTGGACAACAAATGATGCAACGTCACGATGATAAGAGATTGAACAATATTCTCTCAGATAGCTTTGGAGGGGTTCGAGAAGGTGATGTTTGCTATTGGAAGACACGCCAATACAGAAACTCTGGGACTGGACAAAACTGGCGTGAAGTTAGTTGGGACATTCTTCTTGTATTTTGTATTTTCGATCCATGCAGTGAGCTGAAGAAATGAAATCATACGTAACACACTTCAAAATACATCTTCTAAATGCTTTCCCAACAACCCTGATATTATGTAAGCACTGGTTTGGGTGAGTATTGTAGATTTAACATTTGTCGATTTCCAATAAAATGGGGGGGGGTCCAACTACAAAAAATACGAACGCACCCCTAAAATTTCAAATTCGTATTCGTATTTTTTCGTATTTTTTCGTATTTTTTACAAATCGTCATTTTGATAAATAGAAGATCACACATCTTCGTAATTAATCAGATCTAAGCTCAACTAAGCAGTGAAGAATCATTAAAATAATATGTAAACCATCATGTATCATACATAAAACCTGGGGGTGCAACAACAAAAACGATGAACCCACACAAAATTTTGAAATTCGCTTCCTTTTTATCGTTTTTTTATTAAAATTTGGAATATATTGTGATCCATTTTATGTTTATTTGGAAATTGGTCCATTTAACTGAATAATGTATAATCATTGAACAGCTATAAACTTGTTATAGATCTTTAATAAGAGGGTTGGAGTTGTCACGTACTCCTAGACCCGAGTGCTTTGGCCTCTTGTGAGATCGATTGTTTCTGCTCATTGATTTTATCCCTGCTACTTGTTATTATGTATTAGTACAACACTAGGTACCGGGTTATATTTTGTGGTCCGGTCTTTAAACATACCATAATATCACTAATACACTGCACCTTAAATGTATAGTCAAGTTCATTTGTATCGTGACACATGCTTGGCTGGGGGATCATGTTTTGTGTCCGTTTTTGTCCGTTCGGTACCCTATATTTTCAAAACGGACAAAAAGTAGGGCGGACAAAAACGGACAAAAACAGACAAAAAATATTATGGAAATAACATTTAGATGCTTCTCTCCTCCTCCTCCTCCTCCTCCTCCTCCTCAGTTCTCCTCCTCCTCCTCCTCCTCCTCCCCCAGTTCTCCTCCTCCTCCTCTTCCTCCTCCTCCTCCTCCTCCTTCTCCTCCTGAGTCCTCCTCATCCTCCTCCTCAGTCCTCCTCCTCCTCTTCCTGAGTCCTCCCCCAGTCCTCTTACTCCTCCTTCTCATCAGTCCTCCTCCTGAGTCCTCCTCCTGAGTCCTCCTCCTCCTCCTCCTCCTCCTCCTCCTCCTCCTCCTCCTCCTCCTCCTCCTCCTCCTCCTCCTCCTCCTCCTCAGTCCTTCTCCTCATCCTCCTCACCAGTCCTCCTCCTCCTTCTCCTCCTCAGTCCTCTTCATCCTCCTCCTCAGTCCTCCTCCTCCTCCTCAGTCCTCCTCCTCCTTCTCCTCCTTCTACTCAGTCCTCCTGAGTCCGAGGGGGGGGGGGGGGGGATTCAGGTACCAAGTGCCGGACTTCACGTTGGTGGGTGGGTCATTTTTTCTCCCAAAAACACAGTTAGTACATGGTACTAACTGGTGGGTCTACTGCCCATTTCCCAGAAAAACAGTTAGTACATGGTACTAAGGAGTTCATTTTTTGGGTGTTCAACCCCAAAAAACCCATTTTACCTCAAAATTCAATTTTGGGGGTGGTTTTTGAGGTTTTTTTGAGTTTTTTTTGAGGTTTTTTGTAATTGTTAAATTTTTTTTGTAACTTTTTATCTAATTCAGTAATTCGACTACATTGAAAACAAAACCCCTACTGAATAGTGGGTATAATTTGCCCATTTCCCATGTTTAATGAGCTGTTTAAAGCAATTTATGGGTGGGTATCTTATTTTATATACCCAGACTCAGTTAGTACCGTGATTTCTCAACAGTTATTACCGCAAAAGCCGGCAAAAGGGGGTGGGTGTCCTAAATATTATCCGGAAAAGCAGTTAGTACCGCAAAGGGGGTGGGTGTGTCTAGTGAAAAATATCCAAAACTACACTTGTCGACGTGATGTCCGACACTTGGTACCTGATCCCCCCCCCCCCCGCTGAGTCCTCCTCCTCCTCCTTCTCCTCCTCAGTCCTCTTAATCCTCCTCCTCAGTCCTCCCCCAGTCCTCCTCCTTCTCCTCCTCAGTCCTCGTCCTCATTGTCCTCCTCCTTCTCCTCTTCCTTCTCCTCCTCATCAGTCCTCCTCCTCCTCCTCAGTCCTCGTCCTCAGTCCTCCTTATAGTCCTCCTGAGTCCTTCTCCTCCTCCTTCTCCTCCTCAGTCCTCTTCATCCTCAGTCCTCCTCCTCCTCTTCAGTCCTCCCCAGTCCTCCTTCTTCTCCTCAGTCCTCGTCGGCCTCATTGTCCTCCTCCTTCTCCTCTTCCTTCTCCTCCTCATCAGTCATCCTCAATCCTCCTCATAGTTGTCCTCGTCCTCCTCGTCCTCGTCCTCTGTCCTCGTCCTCCTTGTCCTCCTCCTCAGTCCTCCTCTTCTGGAGTCCTCCTCCTCCTCAGTCCTCCTCCTACTCGTCAGTCCTCCTCCTCCTCCTACTCCTCAGTCATCCTCCTCAGTCTCCTCCTCCTCCTCCTCTTCGGTCCTCCTCCTCCTACTCCTCAGTCCTTCTCCTCCTCCTACTCCTAAGTCCTCCTCCTCCTCAGTCCTATTCCTCCTCCTCCTCCTCCTCAGTCCTCATCCTCCTTCTCCTTCTTATCAGTCCTCCTCCTCAGTCCTCCTCATAGTCGTCCTCCTCCTCCTCGTCGCTCTCGTCCTCCTCCTCAGTCCTCCTCAGTCCTTAGTCCTCCTTCTCGTCCTCAGTCCTCCTCAGTCGTCCTCATTCCTCCTCAGTCTTCCTCAGTCTTCTTCAGTCCCCCTCAGTCCTCATCCTCCTCCTCCTCTTCCTCCTCACCAGTCCTCCTCCTCCTCAGTCCTCCTCCTCCTTCTCCTCCTCGTCCTCAGTCCTCCTCCTCAGTCCTCCTCAGTCTTCCTCAGTCCTCCTCCTCCTCCTCCTCAGTCCTCCTCATCCTCCTCCTCCTCCTCACCAGTCCTCCTCCTCCTCAGTCCTCCTCAGTCCTCCTCAGCCGTCCTCCTCCTTCTCCTCCTCCTCCTCCTCCTCCTCCTCCTCCTCCTCCTCCTCCTCCTCCTCCTCCTCACCAGTCCTCCTCCTCTTCAGTCATCCTCCTCCTCAGTCCTCCTCTTCCTCATCCTCCTCCTCATCCTCCTCAGTCCTCATTGTCCTCCTCCTTCTCCTCCTCATCAGTCCTCCTCCTCCACAAAGGACGCCAGACGAACCTATCGAGTGCTTCGGTTGTGCACGGGGCAGCAAGGAAAAATCGGTGCCTTGAGCTTGATGCGAAAGGCAGCGCATGACGTTGCACACACTCGGGGGAAGACACTGATTCCCAATCCCAACCAAACACGGGTGTACAAGGGCAGAGCCACCAGCCTCAAGAAACTTAGGAAAGCACTCAGGGAAGGCATCGACATGGGGAAGGATATGATTCGTGCTCACACAAAGCTGTCCGGGTGCGAACTCGATATACCTACTGAACCTGACTGTTACACTCTAGTTTATGATGATGACAGGGAAGAGGCTGAGCTTGAGGCTCCCAATGATAATGATGATGAAATGGAGATTTATTACCAGTCAACTGGAGTTCTCACAACCGACGGCCGTTGGTACCATGTTGATACTGCTGCTGAGAAGTTCATGAACCACGGTCGGTCATCAATGGCAGGTCATACACGCCAAAGGAGAATCAAAGACTACAGTTTCGACAGGGTGTCATTTTCTCGGCCTTGTGAATCGCTTGGAAAAGACTGTAAACGTGTATTTGTTGGTGACAAGGGCTGGTTCGACAAGAAAAAATTCAAGCAAGCTGTCAAGTTCCGCGGGCAGGCTCTTTTCATGTCAACATCGCATATATTCAGCAAGGGTGACAGGTCGTCTGTCTGCCATGTACCCACTAACTCCTTTTGTTCTACCCATCAGAACTATTATATCATTTTTGGGTGAAGTCTGATGTAGATGGTAAGATTTACCTATCAAAAGAAGTTTTGAAGATCACTAAGAGAATTTGAAGTTTTTCTCTATTTTTAATCCTAAGGAATTTAAGCTGTTACTATAACCATGACTACTTTGTGTAATAAGTTTATCTAAAGAAAGATTTGATAGAATATTAATATGAATGTGCCATATATAGTCTATATACATATTATAATATATAATGGGTTCAGCCGAAGCTGATTAAATTTCGTTTTAAGAACCCAACTTACCAGACTTTAAAAGTATGCGTAACGCGTATTTGGCAATAATATTCTGTGATGTAGCATTCAAAGACCTTTATAAATGACAATTAATACATCGAATAATATCTGAATTATGATAATATCCCAGTGATTTTAACATTTACGCTTACGTGAGATTGACAAGCAGTTAAACTCCAATTATTAATTAGTAGGTAATCGTAGTATTGTATTTTCATTTGTTCACCAGTTTTGCTGCGTCTTATTTATTTTCTCTGATGTCATACAGTGTAATATACAAAGATACAACGGAGAATACCAATGGATTTATAGATCCATTAATCTGGGATATTTCGTTATTTCTAGAGTAAAAAAATGTTGGTAAAAAATACGAAAAAATACGAAAAAATACGAACGCACCCCTAAAATTTGAAATTCGTATTCGTATTTTTTGTAGTTGGACCCCCCCCTAAAATCTGTCATATAAGGTTACCAGGTTTGTAATTTTTGTAGGGGTTTCGATGTGTGGCCTGATAGAACTAAGGCCCTCTATCACACAGTCACACACGTTTTGTTGCACTGTCACACACTCATGAGGCCTGTATGTCATGGGAAAACTTTGTCCTTGGTAACTTTTTTATCTGGTCACAAATGTTTTATGTTGGGCATATCAAAGCGATTTCTTTTATTTTATTTTATGGGTGTTTAATGCTATGTATAACAATAGTGTTTCTCTAAACATTTTTGTGCTGGTTCAATATTGGTCACCTTGGACATCGTCACATCGTGACAGTGTGACTAGGATCACGGATCACGGATATTATGATTCCTCATATTTGGCCGCGCGCACTATTTTTATCATGATCAAAGTTGACCTGCGCGTGTCGACAGCACTATATACACATACCCACGCACAGCTAGGCCATGGCTATCATGCAGAAGGGTGATTGTCATCAGATATTAGATATTAGTTGTTACCCTCGGATTTATCCTTGCGCGACCGATACAGCTCGGATTTTAAAAGCCGTAAACGGTGACCGGACTCCGCTAGGATACCACCGAGGACACAGGGACACTGTCTGCCTCCTCGTGCTGTACAACATTTCATGTTCCGCTCGGAGCTTGAAGCTTGTCAGCAGTCACACAAGCTATCAAGAGTGAACAAGTCGCACTTAAATGTTCCTCCCAGTTCTACATACACATTTGCTGTTTTCGGGTACTTTTAAGTTTTATACATTTTAAAATTTCGTTTTTCCCCAGCACGGACAGCAGAGGACAGATACTAGTGGACGAGTTTCAACAGACGAGTGCTGAAGGTGTATACGCGGTAGGGGATGTCTGCGGTAAAGCACTCTTAACACCGGTTGCTATAGCAGCTGGACGCCATCTCTCTCACCGGATATTCAACAGTGAACCTGACCGGAAACTCAGCTACGAGAATATTCCCACGGTTGTTTTCTCTCACCCTCCTATAGGCACTGTCGGTAGGTTTTTGTTGCCACTTTACACCTTTGTTGGAATGAGTCAGTGTCGAATCTGCTTATCTGTGACTTTTCTAAAAGAACAATGGTAGCATATGGAATATATTTTTGGAAATGTTTTCCAAACGGCATTTTACTAGTCAGACGCTGCCCAACAGTGGAGTAGTAGGGTGCTGCTGTACATGCTGTTCACATGAACCACCACACTTGTTTAACGTCATAACGACATGTTCAGGTTTGACACAGGCAGAGGCTGAGGAGAAATACGGAGCTGCAAATATAAAGATACACCAGAGCACGTTCACTAACATGTACTTTGCCATGACAACACGAAAACCGAAAACTTACATGAAACTGGTGAGCTATCAATAAACTGTTCCTACTTTGCCATGACAACACGTAAACCTAAAACTTACATGAAACTGGTGAGCTATCAATAAACTGTTCCTACTTTGCCATGACAACACGTAAACCTAAAACTTACATGAAACTGGTGAGCTATCAATAAACTGTTCCTGGTCCAGCTATGGCCTTTTTTATCGCCGAACACTTGGAGTAATTACTGTAATTACTGTAATTACTGTAATTACTGTAATTACTGTAATTACAAGTACTCTGAAAACTAACGGACCATTACAAAACTTGATTTCAAGCTTCCGAATACAAATTGAGCCCTACCTTACAATCAGCCATAGTTACTGACTATTTTCCGTCACCATTAAAACCCTTTTCGCAGATCTGCGAAGGAACAGAGGAGAAGATAGTGGGACTACATGTAATGGGATTAGGAGCGGACGAGATGATGCAGGGTTTCTCCATAGCAGTAGTTGCCGGAGCAACCAAAAAACAGTTTGACAGTACCGTCGCTATTCATCCTACTTCAGCTGAAGAATTTGTCACTATGAACTGGGGACTGTCAACTAAATCTTAATCTTGTAACCATTAGTAACCACTAGTAACCACTAGTAACCACTAGTTACTCTCCACTCTTTTCTATATGATCTGGGGACTATCAACTAAATCTTTATCTTGATCTTGGTTTATTAGTTAGTTAGTTACTGATCATATGCATATGAATATTTAAGTGATTTGTTAAGTAATTGAATCTGGAAATTAGGATGAATAGTTTGCCCTTATAATCACTCCGGCAATTTTTACAATTAATTCCTTCAAACTGAAATGTTTTTATTGGCGTCTTTTAGTAACTGTTTTTCATAATGTTTTTCATAATTTGTCCCCCTCATTAATCAAGGTTAACTAACATGTTCACTGAACCATTTATACTGTTTATTTTGTCTGTGCATACCCCATGATATTGTGGCCAATCACAGTCGATTAATTAGAGTTCATTGCATTCATTCATTTTGTGCAACATTCCTTTCTCTTTCATGGTGTTTTTGTTCAGCCGACTATAATGGATATTGTAGTGCTAGAGGTCTATGATAATATTATGCGGCATGATTTCATGACGGAAAGTAGGGAACCATTTTCAGCACAGTTATTTTAAGTTTTAGCTTAATTCAATGACTTATTAAATTATCAAGATTATCTTGAATTGTGAAGAAAATTAACTGTAAACAAAATGTAAGCATTTTGATGTGTTCTCAATACTAAACATTCTTTGTCGCACTGTGAACCTTGTAGGTATTTTTATTCGCTATATAAGCTAACATAATTAATATCATCATGATTATACCTTGATTTAGACTTAGTTTGTTTAATTTTTAAGATTCTGAGATTACTTAGCTTCGTTTCGGAGCGTTATTTTTTTGCTTTAAGTTTAGTTGACTTATAATTTATATGTATTGGTGAATTATTATTGTAGATATCACAATTGATGTTATTCTAGTAGAACAAACACGGCGTTTACTTGTAATGACATTGCTACAGTGCTACCCAAACAATGAAATATTCCGCTCATCTAAAGAAAATGCTTGCCAATTGCATAGATGTTAACTGGCGACGTTGATATTTTACAACAGTTAATATAAAGTCCATTGGCAATCTCAAATGATGTCCTGGTAGACGTAAACATATCGGTTAATGGTACATTTATCATTAACCGATGTTTTATTTATCATCAATTTCAGGAATAACGAAAGGCCTAAGCATGTGCAGACTATAGTAGGGGCTATCTACTTAGGGAGGTCCGTGCTATGCATTATCCAACTGTGAGGTATTAAAGCAGTATGTGCACTGTGCAGACTATAGTAACTGTGAGGTATTAAAGCTTCCATTAACAGTTCACCGGAACACCCTGCATCCCACCACTTACCAACTAAACTTAGCAAAGAGGTAAGTTTTGACAATAGTTTGCCTGCGTCACTGTTACTATGGTAACTAGTAGTGTTACTATGGTAACGCGTCACTGTCCAGAACTGAGATGCTCTGACCGGAGTGGTCGACTGTCACTGACTATTGTAATCCTTACTATTGTGAAGTATAAGGGCTGATCGTGGGAGCAGTTGTTCGTGATCCCTGCTGCGTGATGTGTAACCGAGCCATTGTACTATAACAATGATGATATGCATTACATAAAACCGTTCCTAACTTATTGATCTCCCATTGTTTAGGGGGGGGGGCCAAGTGGATATTTGTAGATATTTGTAGAATGTCATCCACTTTTTTCGTGAATTATCCATTGACAATAATCTACAAATATCTACATTTATCTACAAAAAATGTATAGAAATTTGTGTGATTTCTTATCCATTACATGTTTTATCTATTGGATTCCAGAAAGCTTCTAGTAATTATACATGTCATTAAATACCTGAATTAGGTTCCATATTTGATGTAACCACTCATCTATAATTTCATCAAGGACAACCCCTATATGCTTGCCTATACTTCTCTCAGTGCTTTGAATCTGACTGACCGTCAAGATCCTTCACTTGTTCTGGATCTGTCCTGCTTATACTAGTATTTTTTGAGAGAAGGATATTCAGCCACAGGACTTTTTCTGAAGAGTATCCATTTTCTAGCTGAGGCTTTCTTACTGCAAGTCTTTTTTTGTTCTCTGGAAATCTAATATAACTGATAGTTGTCAGTTTATAACTTGGCAGACGTTTAAAGATCTGAAATGTACTTGCGATGGACTCATTCTCTATCTCCTTTTTCTGCAAAAGTAACAACATACCTACTAGGATCTGATGCTAATGAACAACTCTTTGCTTGGATTCGAACTGGTATCTTTGCTGGTCGCCGCACAAATCTCGATGCCATAACTTTAGCATACGGCTGCGAGAAAATAAATCTTCGCTCAGAGCTCGCTCTTGCAGATGACATGACAGCCTATGCCCATTCCCGTGGACGCAGTATTTTCAGGGAAGAAGTTCCACTACCACACGAGACATGGAAGAATGATACGAAGGAGGTCCACGATTTGAGTTCAAGTGACATCAAAATAGATAGCTTGAAGAAAGCCATGGAACGAGGTACCAAGGCTGTCGTGGACGATGGTAAGAAGTTCAAGTTACCTTTCCTGCAAATATTTGAAGATGAAAACATCATCCGATTGAATGAGAGGAGGATATAAATGACCCTGCAGAGTTGACTGAGTGTGAGAATGATGAAGTGGACTGTCCCACTTGCACTGATGATACTTATAATATGTTAGAATCGGAGGAAGCAGATTCGGAGGCAGCAACTGAGGTCAGCACAACCCTCTTCGGAACGATCGACATAAGATCGGCAGAAACTCTGTTGCTGAACGGGGGAAAAACTAATTTTGGGGATTTTAGCATCAGCATTCGATCAAGAAAGCGGAGCTGAGAGAGTTCAAATGTTCATGATTTGTTCGGAGCGAACAAAAACTGTTACAGAAATAACATTTAGATGGTTCATCCTCCTTCTCATCCTTCTCAGTGTTCCTACTCATCCTCTTCCTCATCCTGACATCCTCCTCCTTATCATCCTCCTCAGACCTCCTCTTCTTCAGGAGGGGGGGGGGGGGGATTTTAGCATCAGCTTTCGATCAAGAAAGCGAAGCTGAGGGAGTTCAAATGTCATGATTTCCAAGGGTCGGGTTAAGTTTGTTTCGCAAAACTATACTCCAGCAAAGTTTGCATGTCCTGCAGGACGGCTCAAGATAAATTCATACTAATTTCACAAAGCAATGATCTCTTGCCCATGAGGTGATTACGAAATAGTCAACCACACTGCTCCTTCTCCTCCTTGGTCCTCTTCCTCCTCCCAAGTCTACCACCTCCTTATCCTCCTCCTCCTCCTCCTCCTCCTCCTCCTCCTCCTCCTCCTCCTCCTCCTCCTCCTCCTCCTCCTCAGTCCTCCTACACCTCCTCCTCCTCCTCAGTCCTTCTCCTCCTCAGTCCTTCTCCTTCTCAGTCCTCCTCAACCTCCTCCTCCTCCTCTTCAATCATCCTCCTCCGCAGTCCGGAGTGAACAAAAACTGTTACGGAAATGACATTTAGATGGTTCATCCTCCTTCTCATCCTTCTCAGTGTTCCTACTCATCCTCTTCCTCATCCTGATATCCTCCTCCTTATCATCCTCCTCAGATCTCCTCTTCCTCAGTCCTCCTCTTCCTCCGTCCTCCTCACCCTCTTCCACCTTATCCTCAGTCCTCCTCTTCCTCAGTCCTCTTCCTCAGTCATCCTTCCCTCCTCAGTCCTCCTCAGTCATCGCATGTACATTGTACAGTTCCTTCTCAGTCCTCCGTCTCCCCATCTGCATCCTCCTCCTCAGAAAGCGGACATTTTTACAGGCCTCCTCCTCCTAAGTCTTCCTCCTCAGTCCCCCTCCTCCTAACTCTTCCTCCTCAGTCTCCCTCCTCCTAACTCTTCCTCCTCGGTCCCCCTCCTCCTAACTCTTCATCCTCATTCCCCCTCCTCCTAACTCTTCCTCCTCAGTCCTCCTTCTAACTCTTCCTCCTCAGTCCTTCTCTTCACAGTCCTCCTCAACCTCCTTCCCTCCTCCTCAGTCCTCCTCAAACTCCTCCTCCTCAGTCATCGCATGTACAGTTCCTTCTCAGTCCTCCGTCTCCCCATCCGCATCCTCTTCCTCAGAAAGCGGACAAAAACGGACATAAACGGATACAAACGGACAAAAACTCTCACGGAAATAACATTTAGATGCTTCCTCCTCCTCCTTCTCCACTCCTCCTCCTTCCCCCATCATCCTCCGCAGTCCTCCACCTCCTCCTAAGTCCTCCTCCTCAGTCCCCTCCTCAGTCCTCCTTCTTCCCAGTCATTATCCTTCTACTCAGTCCTCCTCCTCCTCAGTCCTCTCCTTCTCAGTCCTACTGTTCCTCCTGAGTATTTTTCCTCCTCCTCTTCCTCAGTCCTCCTCAACCTCCTCCCCCTCCACCTCACCTTCAGTCCTCTTCTTCCTCAGTCCTCCTCCTCAGTTATCCTTTTCCTCCTCAGTTCTCCTCAGTCCTCGCTTGTACAGTTTCTTCTCAGTCCTCCGTCTCCCCATCCGCAAGCGGACAAAAATGGACAAAAACGGACAAAAACTGTTACGGAAATAAAATTTAGATGCTTCCTTCTCCCCTACTCTTCCTTCTCCTCCTCAGTCCTTCTCCTTCTCAGTCCTCCTCAACCTCCTCCTCCTCCTTCCCCTCATCCTCCTCCTCAGTCCTCCTTCTCCTTAGTCCTTCTCCTCAGTCCCCCTCCTGATCCTCCTAACTCTTCCTCCTCAGTCCTCCTCTTCCTAACTTCCTCCTCAGTCCACCTCCTCCTTAATCTTCCTCCTCAGTCCCCCTCCTCCTAACACTTCCTCCTCAGTCCCCCTCCTTCTGATTCTTCCTCCTCAGTCCCCCTCCTAACTCTTCCTCCCCAGTCATTCTCCTCCTCTTTTCCTCCTCAGTCCTCTCCTTTTCAGTCCTACTGATCCTCTTGAGTGTTTTTCCTCCTCAGTCCTCTTCCGTCCTCCTCTTCCTCAGTCCTCCTCAACCTCCTCCACCTCTTTCTCAGTCCTCTTTTTCCTCAGTCCTCCTCCTCCTCAGTCATCCTCTTCCTCCTCAGTCCTTATATGTACGACACATTCTCATTTCTCATTTCTGAAAACAGTATTCCTATTTTTTTTCCTAATTACATGATGGCGTTTATTCAAAGGGCATATACTAGGATAGACCTCTGCCTCGGTCAAAAAAGCACCCCACGGCTTCCCTCGGCCTCGGTCTTAACTAAGATGGCACTCCTCGGCCTCGGCTATTAAGATAAAAAAGTACCCCTCGGCCTCGCCCTAAGCCGATCAGTGATCCTCATCCTCCTCAATATTCCTCCTTAGTCCTCCTCCCCAGTCCTCATCCTCCTCCTCTTCCTTCTCAGTCCTCATCCTCTTCCTCCTTCTCCTCAGTCCTCCTCCTCAGTTCTCCTCTTCCTTCTCCTCAGTCCCCTCCTTCTCCACAGTCCTCCTAGCCTCCTCTTCCACCTCCTCCTCCTCATTCCACCTTGTGACAATTTTATTTTGCCATATTTAACAGTACCTCTTTTATCTCTCCCTAGTCAGGCGGATGGCATGGTTGGAAGTTCAGACTGACAGCACCGGTACTAGAGATCAGAACTTTAGCCCCCCCCCCCCCCGCGCCGCCCCCCCATAATATGCAACATTAAATTAGATAGTTCCACCCTTTTAGATCATTGCTTTTCTCTATTGTATGATAGTGTTTATGGACCATAATCTCCATGTAAATACACTCAAATAAACATAGAAGAACTGTGCAAGTAGTCAGATAATATCATTAAAGCACTTACCATATATAAAACGTGATGAAATTGAAGTTAATGCCCAGAAATTCTACTGAATTTTTGGAGATAAATGTAGATATTTGTAGAATGTCATCCACTTTTTTCGTGGATTATCCATTCTACATTAATCTACAAATATCTACAAATATCCACTTGGCCCC